ATTCAATGAATGAGCTGTTTATTAAATTAAATTTTTGTATAATTGCATGCCGTGGTCATTTTGTATGCTGTATTACAATATTGTATCATTTTATTTAAGTTCTTTAAGTACAATATCTATGGCATACTGTACTTTTATAATATGAATATCTGTAATAAATATTATAGGTATTGCAAGAATAGATAAAAAGAAGCCTCTGATTCGGGCTCTGAACAATTAAAAGCTTTTTATTTAAAATTCAAGGTAAAGTAATTAAATATGTTTTAATTTTAGCTACTTTGTAAAAAAGTAAAATCCAATTCAGTTTAAAGTACTTGGGTAGAATTTTTTCCAAATTCCTCTGCAAATAAAATATAATATTAGGTAGTCCTCTTATTTGATTCCTTTTCTTAATATTAATTTTTTTCTCACATTTATTTATAATAGGCCTACTCAGTTTCCAATGTCCTTGTGCCTAAAATTAAATTAGTTTAGTGTACAGTAGATTCCTGTAAACATATTAATTATATTTTTAATTGTGATATACCTTGCAAATAGCCAATAGGCCTACTTCAGTTTCTCATCTCAGCAAATTACTGTGGTTTAAAGTGAAATAGAATTCATCTAGTGTTTCGCATTTAATGATTGTTGTGGTGATTTTTGTTTTTTTCCCAAACTCAGGATGTCATCAGGAGCCATTATGATCTGGCTAGTTGTACTGCTATCCCAAACTGCCATTCTGCTGGCCCAGAATGCTCAGGTTTTCTTTCTGCAGACAACGGTCTCAGTGGAAGAGACTAACGACTCATCCTTCACCCTAAATGTGCGGAAGACTGGAAATATTGATACAAGTATCACAATACTTGTTGCTGTAAGAAATATATAAATTTCTCTGCTCTAAAAACATTGAAGAACACATACATTAACTTGATGTTTTCTGTACTGTAATCGTATGAATTTTTAAGGTTAATTACTTGACTTATAGTCTTGATGTGTTTTACGTGTAGAGATTTTTAAATTTCTATCTTGCGGTACTATTGAATTTTCTGTTTCATTCTGTGCATACAAAATTAGGATAGTCATGGACCTGCTTGTCTTCAGCCATTCTATATTCTTTGGTATAATTTCGTAAAACAATTGAATAAAAAACAACCCAGCTATATCAAAATGTACCTGTATTTACTATGTGGTGAAAGCTTTGAGTTGTCTTATACCTCTGCCTACAGTATAAAAAAAATGTTTAATTTACAATACTAAAATGTTAATTTGTAATTATCAATATTATGTAATTTCCTAATTTGTTAAATATGCATTGTTTTTCTTAATATTAAATTTAATAGATTGAGCAGATCATATAATTATTAAGTGTGCTAAAATGATACAGTAAATTAAATGATCATGTACTTTTTTATATGTTTATATGAACAGTAGTTACCTTAATAGCAAGCAAAAATGATTTCATCATATAATAATTGGAAATTGTTGTTCTTTTTTACAGCCAATAGAAAATATACAAAGTGATTTTGGGGTTCCATACACTCAAACTAGAGAGATTAGTGCAGGCAACGAAGTAGAAACATTTGGAACAACATGGAACATTAGAAATGATGATATTCCTGAAGGCGATGAAGTGTTTATCTTCGAACTGAGTGATTTGTCTGGCAGTGAGCAAGTGGTTATAAGTCAAGCCATTGTCAGAGTTACAATACTAGCTAATGATGATGCATATGGCATTATCGGTTTTTCTTCAGTAAGTAGATGTTTTCAATCTAGTTTACTACTTTTTTATTTCTTTCAATTAAAAGAGCACTCCAAGTTGCTAACAATGCCATGATTGCAGTGGCGGCTCCAGGATATATTTTCTGGGTGGAGGGAAGCTAAGCTGTTCAACAGGGGGATTTGAGCTTGTAGCCCTGAGCTGGGAGAAGGGTTTGAGAGGGGTCCGGCTCCCAAGTGAGATTGTTTTAAGAATAGGAACCTCTGGATGGTCAGAAATGGCACTCTCAGACTGTGACAGACATGTGTTGGCTTGGTGTTGGGCCTATTTTTATATTTTTTATGGTCTGACTTCCCAACAAGCTCTGTCCGACAGGGGGATTGACCTGTCCGGTAGGGGGGCTTAACTCCCCTTCCCCCTGCTGGCGCCGCCACTGCATGAATGCATCGCTGAGCAGAATTTGTTTTCTGGATTTAACACAACAAGTGATTGCTTGGTTTTTGGAATGATTGATTGATATAATTTATTTACTAATAAATCCAGTTTTAAAACATTTTCAGAATATGTGTTTAAAAAACAAAATTTGTAATAACTTTTTCATTTGAAATTAAGTCTAATCTATTTGTTCCATCTGACTATTTACAACCAAAAATTTGTCTGACAATATAGGAAGAAAAATTATTTATCATGGGGTTCATAAACCAAAGGTTTGACACATGAAGCCAACTCCAAATAATGGCTTGCATAACATTCTTCACATTTTTGTTCCATAGTTTCCAAGGTCATTTATAAATCATACTACTACATACACATTGAAACAATTATAAATCCCTGTACAATATTCGTAGAGGTCCAGAATAGTATGGGTAGGGCCAATATATGTTGTACAACTCCCATGAAAATCATAGCTCTGTGTGCATTTCCACCAGATTAATATTACAATAATACTCAATACTTTTATCAATAAATGTGATGAACTATAGCTGATAAAAGAATGATTTTAAATTCCATTTTGTATTTAAACTTACATTTATTTTTTGTTCAGATTGGACCATTGCTATTTGTTGAAGATCCATTCGAGGAAACCATTGTCGATATTTCTTGTTCTCGGACACGTGGGACCTTTTCAGCGGTGTCAGCAACTTTTGAGGTACACTTATTTTTAACATTTTTACAATGTTTTACTACATTATCATCTAGTATTAGTGCAAACTAGTTGTCACTTCATTTCTTTAGAGTTGCAAAGCTGTAGAATGGGGAGTGCATTTTGCAGATTGGT